CAATCTTGCTGTAATCACTTATTAGTTCCAAAAAATTTTTAGTACATTTTTTTCTGATTCATTGCATAGACAGTGGGGTCATCTGTGATCAAAAAAAGTTCATTGCTTAGATACATAGTAAAGAAATATGGGATCTTTTTACTTATCCCTAGAAACTTACAGTTGGTGATAATAAGACAGCATTCCCTCCAAACAAAATAAATATCAAAGTTATGTTACAGAAAAATGAATTTTTTTTTCTTTTTAAATATATTTCCATTGATTTCAGAGAGGAAGGAAGAGAGAGAGAGAAACATCAATGATGAGAGAGAACCATGTATTGGCTGCCGCCTGCACGTCCCACAGTGGGGGATCGAGCCTGCAACCCAGGCAGCGCCCCCACCTGGAATGGAACCTTGCCCTCCTGGTTCATAGGTTGATGCTCAACCACTGAACCATGCTGGCTGGGCGAAAAATGAATTTTTTTTCTTTAATCCGCATCTGAGGATATTTTCCACTATTTTTTTTTAGAGAGAGTGGAAGACAGGGAATGACAGAAATATCTATGTGAGAGAAACACATCAATTGGTTGTGTCCTGCACATGCCCCAACCAGGGCCCAGGCCAGGGAGGAGCCTGAAACCAAGGTACATGCCCTTGACCAGAATCAAACCCGGGACCCTTCAGTCCACAAGCCGATGCTCTACCCACTGAGCCAAATTAACTAGGGTGAAAAATGAATTTTTTAATGTGTAAACTTCCATAAAAGTTGTAAGGCTAATACAGAGAATACCCATATGTTTTTATTTACATTTACCTACTGCTAACATTTTGTTCTATTTTTAAAATCATTTGGTATATATTTTTTCTGGAGATATTTGAGCATAACTTGTGTACACCATGGACTTTTAACTCTACATAGTTCATAAGAATCCTATATAATAAAAGGCTAATATGCAAATTGACCGAACAGCAGAATGACCAGTCTCTATGACGTGCACTGACCATCAGGGGGCAGAGGCTCAACAAGGAGCTGCCCCTGGTGGTCATTGTGCTCCCACAGGGGGAGCACCGCTCAGGCAGAAGCTGGGCTCACGGCTGGCGAGTGCAGCAGTGGTGGTGGGAGCCTCCGTGGGAGCGCTAAGGATGTCCAACTGCTGGCTTAGGCCCACTCCCCATCAGTCAGACATCCCCCAAGGGCTCCCGGACTGCGAGAGGGCTCAGGCTGGGGCTGAGGGACCCCCCCCCAAGTGCACAAATTTCGTGCACCAGGCCTCTAGTTAGGGTATAAGAAAGTATATACATTTAAAAAACATATTATTTTAAAATTCGGTTCCCCCCCCAAGTGTTAAAGTCTCTAAAATTTAGCCTTGTGCCCTGGCCGATGTGCTCCATGGTTTGAGCGTTGGCCCATGCACCAGAGGGTCTTGGGTTCGATTCCCATTCAAGAGCACATATCTGGGTTGCAGGTTTGATCCCGGTCCCCAGTTGGGACACATGCGGTAGGCAACTAATGAATGTGTCTCTCTCACATTGATGTTTGTTTCTCTCGCTCCCTTCCCCCCCGCCTCCCTCGATCCTCTCTTTCCTCCCTCTCCTTCCCTTTCACTCTCTAAAGTCATTGGAAAAAATATCCCCTGGTGAGGATTAACAAAACAAAAATTAGCCTTGAGAAAATCGGGGCTTAAGTTTGTGTATCAAAACCATCTGATAGAAAGACTGTTATCCCAAAGTTAAGCTTCAGATATCAGTTGGGAAGAAGAGTTAGAGTGAGCATCATAGAAGATGGTTTTCAGAGAAATCCTTTATTTATTTAGAATAAGTTGCTGTGAGATGTTCCAAAGGCACTAGGGGAACAGTCTGATGTGTTGGTGGGATTTGAGGAGCACTTTTAGTTTTATTAGCATTATAACATTTTTGTTCTCACATCATTCTGGCAGCAAGTAACTGGAATTGAGGAAGACTAACAACTCATCCTTCCCAATTACTTACCTTCTTCATACTTGTATTTTTCCTTCACTTACATTTAATCTTTCTCCCTATTCACCTAAACCTCTCCTCTCTTTGATGTCTTCTGAATTTCTGGGCAGAATGCTTAGATTTCAAAGTTACTTATGACAAATATGAAAGCAATGATGTAATAAGTTTTTTCCATTTTAATTCTCATTAAAAAAGGACAAATGGCTTTTATTTTACTCAATACCGAAACTAAGAAACATTGCTTTGTTTTTTTCAGTTTCAGAGTCAAATGGCGAGATCAGAAAGTTTTCTCCAAAAAATGTCATATATGAAGAGGACTTTCCCCAGTATTTGATAAAGGAAAATCATCGGAGCCAAGGCCCTGAACATTCCAGTTCTAAAGGAGGCTGGAAATACGAGGATGTTACTGAGATGCTACAAAGAAATCAGGGATGTATCAGGCAAGTGACAGTCTCTCGTCAAGAAGCCCTGACTCAGCGTAGTGTCAGTGCCGTGGAGAGGCCCTATGGGTGCCGTGAATGTGGAAAAGCTTTCAGTCGGCGCTTTTCCCTGGTGCTACATCAGAGGACGCACACAGGCGAGAAACCATATGTGTGTCAGGAATGTGGCAAACCCTTCAGTCAGATCTCCAACCTCGTCAAACATCAGATGATCCATACTGGAAAGAGACCCCACGAGTGTAAGGACTGTAGTAAAACATTCAGTTACCTTTCATTCCTCATTGAACACCAGAGAACACATACTGGGGAGAAACCCTATGAATGTACTGAATGTGGAAAGGCCTTTAGCCGTGCCTCAAACCTCACTCGACATCAGCGAATTCACATAGGAAAGAAACAGTATTTATGTAGGAAATGTGGGAAGGCCTTTAGCAGTGGTTCAGAACTCATTCGTCATCAGATTACACATACTGGAGAGAAACCTTATGAGTGCATTGAATGTGGGAAGGCGTTTCGCCGTTCTTCACACCTTACCCGACATCAGAGCATTCATACTACCAAAACCCCCTACGAGTGTACTGAATGTAGGAAAGCCTTCCGTTGCCACTCCTTCCTTATTAAACATCAGAGAATTCACGCTGGAGAGAAGCTCTATGAATGTGATGAATGTGGCAAAGTTTTCACTTGGCATGCATCCCTCATACAACATATGAAAATTCATACTGGAGAAAAACCCTATGCCTGTACTGGATGTGACAAAACCTTTAGTCGGAGTTTTTCCCTCATTCTACATCAGATAACGCATACTGGGGAGAGGCCCTATGTGTGTAAGGTGTGCAACAAATCCTTCAGCTGGAGCTCAAACCTTGCCAAACATCAGAGAACACACAGTCTAGAGAATCCCTGTGAATATGAAAATTCATTTAGTTACCACTCAATCCTTACTGAACGCCAGGGAATTCCTACTGGTGAGAAAACCTAAGGATGTTTGCACTTAAAAATATATCAGCTAATGCCTTACTTTGATTTCAGAGCCTTATGTGAATGTGTTGAAATATGAAGACATGTGATCCATGCCTGGAGAAAAAATCCAGGAATATGTGGGAAAGCCATTAAAGCGTCCTTATTTTTATTTTTATTTTTTGTAATGTTAGAGAGTGCAGTCACTCAATATGGAGAAGACTCTGCCTCTGCTAGGATTTCCTTACTCTACATTTATAAATTCCTGCCAGGAAAGGGATAGATACAAGTCCAATGCAAGTGAGAAAGCTTTTAGTCAGAGATTAGCTCTCGTCCTGCATTTGTCAGTTTCAGCACGACAGAATGCATGGGTGAGGGTGCGCTTTTTCCTGGACATCACAAAATTCATAATGCAGGAGTCATACATACAAGCAGGGGTTTGGGAATGCCTTCATGTACCATACAATCTTTATTAAATTTTAAAATATTCTTTTAAGGAGAAAAATCAACCCTATAAATGGATAGATTATAGGTTGACTTTATGCAAAATTTAAAATGTATAGACTTATACTGGGGGCACCATTATAATGGGTAGAGGAAAATCTTGGAGTTCTGGGAAGTCCTGGAGGAAATAATAGTGTGGGAAATTTTTTTAAATTACCGAGGGAATCTTTGTTTTGCTTTTTTTTTTTTTTTAAAAAAAAAAGCATATTCAAAAGAGCTATAAATAAATCTTTTGATTTATAGTTAATCTGATATTTGCTGAGTTTCCCCCCCATATCATATATGATTCTGAAAATGCAACTCTCACAATATTGACATCAGCAAGAGGAATGTGTTTTTGTGGAAACATACACAATAGTAGAAACATTTTTAGGTGTCTTATGATTTTAACTGAGATAGTGTTTGGATTTAAGGTTATGCTAACTCATGTTTATCCTTGAATCTGACTAGACATGTCTTAGTCAGAAATAAATGTAAGTTATATCACAGGAAAATGCCAAGGTAGTTTTCCTCGTTTGTTGCATTTATAGTGAGAACATTTATTTTGTAAGTCCATACTTGTGAAAATAAATCATATTATATTCACTTTCTATGTACACCTTGCCCATTTTTTAATGTCCTATCTTTAAAGCAACTGACTGCCTCTTGTAAGAACTTTCCTCACATCTAGTGTGTGTAATGTGCAGTTTAGTACTTGAATAAGTGCCTCATTTGTTGTTTCATGTATGTAAATCGTTCACAAAACGAGAGGCTAGCATTTTTCTTTCCCATTCAGGGTGACAACAGAACACATAGCTGTTGCTGAGCAATTACTTGTCTAGAATGACCTAACGCCTCAAACTTGACCAGAATAATTCTATTGTACAAACCCTCCCTTTCCTATAGTGTGGCCAGCATTGTCACTTTCCCCAGCACCATGTGAGGTTAGGGGGTGGGGGGTGTTCTGGTGAACAAGAATGTATTTATCATTTCAGAGGTTTAAAACATTGAGTAATGTGGCCACAGACTTCTCAGGAGGAGTGGGGCTGACTAGATCCCATCCAAAATAATTTATATGGGAATGTAGTGTTGGAGAACTACGGGAAACTTTCCTGAGGAGGTTAGCATTCCCTCAAATTCAGAATCTGAATTTAGGTATCTTTACTATTTCCATAGGAAATATTAGGGGCTGGGCTCCAAATTGCCTGGCTGAACTCCTGCTCCATGTTCTTGAGATGATTAAAAATGGGTAGAATAGGGAAGTGGATGCATTTTCCTCCTGCTCTTGTTCTTGTAATAGCTTTTCCTCCCTTAACTAAGAGATTGGGTCTGGAGCTGAGTGCAACTATAATATTTTGAAGTATCTATTTTCTCTCTTGTAAGCAGGACTTTCTCTTTCTAAACCAAATGTGACCTCCTTACTGGAGCAAGGGAAAGAGTGATGGAGACAAAGTGACAAGAGGCCTAAGATCAGGTAAGTGAAGGGCAATCAGGCAGGAAGTGCCTTTACAGGTAGTTCAGCTCACAGATATATTACCTGAGTCATATTATCAAAAATAATAACTTTCTCTTTCCTTCATGCAACACCATTCTAAACAACATAACTTTCAAAAATTCCTTTCCTTAATTTGTGGTAAGATATTTCAGAAAATAAGGACTATGATTTTTACTTAAACTAAAATACAGATAATTCCTATATTATACAGTGAAAGAGATGTCAAAACACTCTTGCCACTGAAAAAAGAAAATAGACTGTGGATGTCAGTGTGCTTTATTTGTCATTGCAAGAAGGTGCTGTCAAGGTTCATAGTTGCTTTCTTTCACTCGATTTTAGCACATAAATCTGTTACATTTTTTTCATATTTAACACGTTTGTTATAAGCTGTGGTGCTTTCCAGAGGTAGAAGATAATAAAATTAGCTTGTTTTTTTTCAAGATGAAATTTAATAACAGTAGCACAAAACTGTTACATTTTTTTCATATTTAACACGTTTGTTATAAGCTGTGGTGCTTTCCAGAGGTAGAAGATAATAAAATTAGCTTGTTTTTTTTCAAGATGAAATTTAATAACAGTGGCCAGACACATTGAGATATAAAAGCACCAGCAGTAGAAAAGTATATGATGTTGTGCTTCAAATTACTTGTATACTATAATATTTCAGTTCAAATTTGTATTGTACCGTTACAATGGAGAAATGGTGGTGATATATAGTGTGACTGTGTCAATACATGTGAAGAGGTAAATACCCAGTTAGACCATTTTGATCTATGTAGTGTAAGACGTTTGTATTTCAGACATACAGTTATCTTAAGTTTGCATAGTCAAGGTGTGAGAAAGTCATGTGAAACAGACTCCAGACTGCAGCTATTATACCGCTGGACAGTTACAGGATTTTCTTAATCTGTTGTCATGCTCATTCAATTATCCACACACTATTACACCATCACTCTCCCAGTGAACATGTCTATCCCCCATAGAAGAGCACATTCAGTCATCATTCACACAACACAGGGTACCTGTCCTCGATTATGACTCCTTGCATAACAGTTTCTGTGTGAAACCTTGTCTGAATTAGAGCTTACCTTTTGAGTAATTATCTTGGATACAATCAAACTAAGTGGACAGCAGAATGACTTTCAACATTGGCACACTCCTGGATGCAGCAGCCATGTCTTGTGTGTGTCAAATATGGTTACAGCTGATCACTATTACCCCCTCAACCGAATGCAATGTTGTTATTATGAGATTGAGTTTAACTGTTATTTATAATATATTCAAAAAGTCTGCTTCAAGTTGGGATGCAGTATTGAGAAAGCAACTAGGTAAAGCAGATAAATATAAAAAATCATTTTCAAAGGCATCACCGAGCTGTGGAAGCAGAGGACTAGATGAACCATATTCCAGAAGGAAAACCCTGCTGAGGTAACCTGATAATCACATGCTATTTTGCCCTTGAAAGCATTTCCTGATTTTGAATGTGAGCTTGGGGGAAAAAGAAATCACAAAAGTTTTAGGGGTGCCCTAACCAGTTTGGCTCCATGGATAGAGCGTCGGCCTGTGGACTGAAGGGTCCCGGGTTCAATTCCAGTCAAGGGCATGTACCTTGGTTGCGGGCACATACCCAGTAGGAGGTGTGCAGGAGGCAGCTGATCGATGTTTCTCTCTCATCGATGTTTCTAACTCTCTATCCCTCTCCCTTCCTCTCTGTAAAAAATCAATAACATATATTAAAAAAAACAAAACAAAAGTTTTAGGGGTCACTTGAGGTTGAGGTTGGCAGATTAGGAAAGTGAGGAGCCTCAGATGCACAGGCGATTCTCTCCCATGGGACATTTGCTGAGTTTTAGGGCTGTCCAGATATTCTAAACATAATGCAGTTAACTTAGAAATCAATAAGAAGGTAAGTGAAAACCTTACCGCACATATTACAAATACATAATTCTAAATAGCCATGAATCAAAAAGTCATAATAAATGTATAACACTTAGAATTAAAACAAAATAACATAGACCAATATGTGTTATATAGCTAAAGGAGTATTTATAGGACTATATATAGCCTTAAATGCTTATATTAGAGAACAAAGATTGAAATAATGAGCTTGCAATTCATCTTCAGACAATAAAAAAGGCAATTTCACATTCAAAACACAGGGATTATCTTCCAGTATGAATTCGTTTATGTATAATAAGTGAAGAACTCTGACTGAAGGCCTGTCCACATTGAATACATTGATAGGGTTTCTCTCCAGTGAGTTCTCACATGTCTCCTAAGGGAAGAGGAAACACTGAAAGTTTTCCTACATGCCTTACACTCTTAGGGTTTCTCTCCAGTGTGAGTTCTCATATGCATTCTAAGGGATGAGAGACCACTAAAACCTTTTCCACTGTCCTTGCATTCATAAAGATCTTCTCCAGTGTGTATTTTCGTGTGAACTTTAAGGTGAGAGCTTGTGTTGAAGGCTTTTCCACAGTCGCTGCATTCATAGAGTTTCTCCCCAGTGTGTATTCTCTTGTGCATTACAAGGTAAGAACTTGTTCCAAAAGACTTCCCACAATGACTACACTCAGAGGGTTTCTCTCTGGTGTGAGTTCGCAAATGAGCCTTAAGAGATGTTTTTTGACTAAAAGCTTTCCCACATTGATGACATTCATAGGGCTTCTCACCAGTGTGAGTTCTTACATGTCTCCTTAGGATTGAGGAATCATTGAAGACTTTCCCACATTCTTTACATTCATATTGCTTCTTGCCCATGTGACTTCTCTTGTGCAAAATAAAATTAGAAATCTTTTTGAAGGCTTTTCCATACTGATTACATTCATAATGTTTCTCTCCAATAGGAGACTGCTCCTGTTGCTGAAGGAATGAATGGTGACAAGTTTTATTTTTATTACATTCATAGGAATTTTCTGCCATTTGAAATTGTTATGTATAGGAGGCATCTTAGGTTTGAAGTGTATTCCATGTTTGGAGCATGTATACTCTTCTTGTGCTGTTTGAGTTCTTGGAAGATACCACAGTGCTCTAGCATATTCATGACTTTCACAGAGCTTCTCACTCACAAAATTTCCCCCATAATTGTTTAGGATGGAGTTATGCTATAAACACTCAATATTGAAGTAACAAGTATGGCATTGTTTACTGGTGAAAACTCTCTTTGAAAAAACAAGTTTAGATCTAAATTTAGAGTTTTCCTATAATTCATGATAGTCATAGAATCTTGATAGGCTGTCTTCTTGGGGATAAATATCATTTGCTTTAAATTACCCTCTGGGATATTGTGTTTTCTGATCTTATGGCATTCCCAGTCTTTTCTTAATGTGGAAGACCAACCATCCACTGTGAATCTTACCGTCTTACCATTGGGTGTCTTTTCCCCAAAAATATTCTGCTTAGGAGTTGGTTCATTGTTTTTAGTTAGAATCTCCCAATCTAGGTAAGTGGCTTTGGGAATTCTTCTTTTCATAGTTCTTATCTCTTCTTGACCCAGCTGGGAGATCACAGAAGTCCTGCATAATTGATATGCCACTGAGGTGAGATTTATGTAGTTTTCCAACATCACATTTCTGTACATATGTCTCTGAGCAGAGTTCAGCATTATCCATTCCTCCTGTGTAAACTCCACGGCCACATCTTTAAATGTCACTGGCCCCTGTAAGTAGGTGGCTGGAAATTCATCCACCATTCTTTCCTCCTCAGTATTTCTCACATGGAAACAGGCAGATTCCTGTGCAGTCAGAGCCCACATAGGAGATAGGTCAATAGCTGTCATCTTGAGAGTCTGAAAGTAACATCTGCCTGCACAACAGGGTAGAGAGATCAGGATATTTCTTTTCTTGTTTCTCTGATCCAATCAGGGCAGGGATGCACTTCACTGAGCATCTTCCCTGCAGGTAAATAGGCAGGTTCAGTTAAAAGAAGAAAGGTGGAAACAAGGCCCCACTGGAGGCAAGATAAAAAAAACAATTATACCCATCTCCCTACTTTCAGCAATTTCTGACCAGCTTAAATCTTTATTGGGATTGTAATAACATGCATTATAGTCATCCCTTGTCATCATTATTTTTGTTGTTGTTAATCCTTACCTGAGGATATTTTTCCATTTATTTTTATGCAGCGTGGAAGGGAGAGAGAGAGACAGAGAAAAACATTCATTGGTTGCCTCCTGCACGCACCTCACCCATGACCGGGAAAGCAGCAACCAAGGTACATGCCCTTGACCGGAATTGAATCTGGGGCCCTTCAGTCTGCAGGCCGATGTTCTGTCCACTGTGCCATACTGGCTAGGGCATGTTTGTTATTTATACTGGCTTCACCTGCAAACTACTACTCAGCCTTGGGTCGAAGGAGCATGTATTATTAAAAAAACAAAACAAAAATTTAAGACTAAAGAGAACCAGTCAAAAAGGCATAGTTGGCCCTAGCTGGTTAGGCTCAGTGGATAGAGCGTCAGCCTGGGGACTGAAGAGTCCCAGGTTCGATTCTGCTCAAGGGCACATGCCTAGGTTGTGGGCTTGATCCCCAGTGGGGGGCGTGCAGGCGGCAGCCGAGCAATGATTCTCATCATTGATGTTTCTATCTCTCCCTCTACCTTCCTCTCTGAAACCAATAAAAAAATATTTTTTTAAAAAGAGGCATAGTTGTGTAATTAAATGTCATGCATACTTTGCTATATATATATATATAATCGATTTTAGAGAGGAAGGGAGAGGGAGCAAGAGACAGAAACATCAATGATGATGGAGAATCATCGATCACCTTCCTCCTGCACACCCCTCCACTGGGAATAGAACCTGCAACCTGGGCATGTGCCCTGACCATGAATCAAACCAGGACCTGTTCATTCATAGATTAACACTCAACTACTGAACCATGCTGGCCAAGCTACAGATCTAACTTTTTAAAGATTAGATGATAACCTTCAAAGGCAAGCCTTCTATCAGTATTATACTTCAACTAGGGGCCCAGTGCACAAAATTCGTGCACTCGGGGGAGGGTTCCTCAGCTCTGCCTGCACCCTCTTGCAGTCCAGGAGCCCACGGGGAGCGGGCCTAAGCTGGCAGTCGGTCATCCTTAGCGCAGAGGCGGGAGAGGCTCCCGCCACTGCTGCTGCACTCGCCAGCTGTGAGCCTGGCTTCTGGCTGAGCAGCGCTCCCCCATGGGAGTGCACTGACCACCAGGGGGCAGCTCCTATGCTGAGTGTCTGCCCCCTGGTGGTCACTGCACGTCATAGCGAGCAGTTGAGCAGCCTTAGCATATCATTAGCATATTATGCTTTGATTGGTTGGACGACCGGATGACCAGACACTTAGCATATTAGGCTTTTATTATATATGATAGAGTTCAGTTTTAATGGACAAAATTATAGAATTGGCATTGTAATATAGACAGGTAGGTTCTATGTCCTTAAACCAGAAAAGTATGTAACTGTTACTTTAGTGTGTATCTTATAGAAATACATTTTTCTGACCATAAAAGGATTATTATCCTGGAAAAAAGATTCCAGGAAACAGGAGATCTAACACAGAGATGAGATGAGGGTAAAGGGAAGTCCCAGTATGCCAGTGTGCTGCATGCCTAGAGAATAACTGATCACCCTATCTCGGTGGGAGCATCATCCCATACACCAAAAAGGGTACGGGTTTAATTCCTGGTCAGGGCATAGACCTAAGTTGTGTGTTTGATCCCTAGTTGGGGTGTGTACTGGAAGCAACCAATGGATGTTCTCTCTCTCCCTCTCACTCTCCCTCCCCCTTTCCTTCCCCTCTAAAATCAATAAAAACATGTCTTCAGCCAAGCTGGCGTGACTCAGTGGTTGAGTGTCAACCTGTGAACCAGGTTTGATTCTCATTCAGAGCACATGCCCAGGTTGGGGGTGTGCGGGAGGCAGCCAATAAATGCTTCTCTCTCATCATTGATGTTTCTATCTCTCTTTCCCTCTCCCTTCCTCTCTGAAAGTAATAAAAATATATTTTTAAAAAATGACATATCTTTGCATGAGGGTTTTAAAAAAGGAATAACTGATTAGATCAGGGAATGGTGTGCTGCCAGAATTTTTAAAACATGCAATACCTGACTAATCAGGGGCACTGACCTCTTTTCCTTTCCATTGTCAAATTAAAAAATGAGAACAGCCAATACAACAATAGTCATCCAATGTGAATGAATCGAAATTATACCTATTTTTTGTCAGATTGGCAAAAGTACATGTTTTGATGTACTGCAGTTTTAGTAACGAGTTTATGTGTGCTATGAGATGAAAAAGGTTGACAATCACTGGTCTAGATAGTACGAGGAAGGAAGGCTCCTAGGGATATGTGTTCAGGAAGAGAGAAAAGTGATAGGGTTGTATGACAGGTTTCTGCCTTGAGGAAAAAGGAATGGAAAGACTGTATTTTTTAAATATGCTTTTATTGATTTTTTTTAGAGGGAGAAGGATAGAAACATCAATGAGAAACAGCTCCTCCACGCCCCCTACTGGGGATCAGCGGGAAACCAGGCACGTGCAGTGACGGGGAGTCTAACAGCTGGCCTCCTGGCTCACGGGTCAGTGCTCAACCACTGAGCACCAGCCCGGCTGGAAAGGCATGTTCCATGGGCTTCCACTGGAAGAAACGGGCCTCCTGCTTTTATTATGAGCCTTTTAACATATTAGACCTAAACATGTATATATACATTCCTCAGAAAGCTAACAGTTACCGAGAAATAAGCAATCAAATCAAGAATTAGGAAAATGGCAACGAAGTAAAATTTAAGAACTGACAGCAAAAGTTACAGAACAGAAAACCAAAACGCAAAGACATAATACAAAATCAAAAGATATGGGGGGGGGGGGGGGGCAAGCGTGGAAAAAGGAGACGTAAAACTTTAGACAATACATAAAAAGTAAAAAAAAGATAAATCACAAAATATGACCCAAATCATCTTTGAAAAGAATAATGTAGATATATATCTTGCAGGATGAATCAAGAAAATAAAAAGATGGCCTAGATAAAAGGTTATAATTAGAGCTGTGCTTTTTAAACATTACTAAAAAGCAGTGTTTTTTAAAATGACTATGAAAATTGCCGAAACCGGTTTGGCTCAGTGGATAGAGCGTCAGCCTGCGGACTGAAAGGTCCCAGGTTCGATTCCGGTCAAGGGCATGTACCTTGGTTGCGGGCATATCCCCAGTGGGAGATGTGCAGGAGGCAGCTGATTGATGTTTCTCTCTCTCATCGATGTTTCTAACTCTCTATCTCTCTCCCTTCCTCTCTGTAAAAAATCAATAAAATATATTAAAAAAATAAAATAAAATAAAATTACTATGAAAATAACATGAGCAATTTAAGCAAGCTTAAAATTTCAGATAAGATGAATAATTTTTGGCAAAACTTGTGTCCAAAATCGACTAAAAAATAAAAAACATAAATCAATTAACTACTGTAAAAACAATTGGATCAGAAGTAAAATTCTCTTAAAGATTTTCAGCCCAAAACTTTTAAAAAATATGTATTTTTATTGACTTCAGAGAGGAAGGGAGAGAGATCAATGATGAGAGGAAATCATTGATCGGCTGCCTTCTGCACACCCCCTACTGGGGATCAGGCCTGCAACTCAGGCATGTGCCCCGACCAGAATCGAATCCGAGGAGCCAAACTAGCTAGGGCTCACCCCAAAACTTTTAAGGAAGACTTTTTTTGGGGGGTGGTGGTGGTGGTAAGGGGGTAGGCTATTTTAAAGAATAGAAGAAAAAAGTTGTGTTTCCCAAATTATTGAGACTTGTAAAATATTTTCAGGTAAATACAAAAGACAGTACAAAGGAGTGAAGTTCCACCATAATTCTGAACACCAAAAAAGTCCTAAGTTGCCCTGACTGGTTTGGCTCAGCGGATAGAGCTTCGGCCTGCGGACTCAAGGGTCCCATGTTTGATTCCGGTCAAGGGCATGTACCTTGGTTGCGGGCACATCCCCAGTAGGGGGCGTGCAGGAGGCAGCTGATCAATGTTTCTCATTGATGTTTCTAACTCTCTATCCCTCTCCCCTCCTCTCTGTAAAAATTCAATAAAATATATTTTTTAAAAAAGTC